TACACACATGTACGTCTTGCATTGGGAAGGGTGGCATACAGTTGCATTACTCAAATGCAAAGAGTGTGGAATCTCAAGTCTGCCCTCAGGCAAACCCCCTTCAGTATTTATTAATACAAATAAATGTATCTGAAATCAAAAATAATACAAAATAATCTACCCATGAGTTACTCCCCTTATTCAGGGACCTCATGAGCAGGTCCCTCATGATTTGACAGCAACCTCACAAAGTCTCTCAGATGTTTGGGTGGTCACTTGGCCCACTGCAACCTTCTAAGGCCCAGAGATTGACTGGCCCACCTGCTCACCTACCAGGCTAGGCAAGCCAGGATGTTGCTGCCCTAAATCCCCAGGTGACCTTGGTGAGGGTGCCTGGCCTACCTGCTCGCCTACTAGGCTAGGCAGGCCAGGACTTTGCTGCCCCACATACCTGGTTGACCCGCCCATCTGCTGGCTGGCTGGACCCTCTACGTCCAAGCCAGCATACCTTGGAGGGGTGCATACCCCGAGTCCACAATGGACCCCTCTTGGGAACACTGTCCCTCGAGCCCAAGGCCAGCAGATGGAGAGGGCTGGGTAGCGGAAGTGCCCCAGTACTCTGTGGCCCCCAAGCATGTGCCTGAGGTGCCAGAGTCAGGAGTCGCCTCCATGGCAACCCCCTTTGCTAGTGACTTCCTTTTGGGAGCAATTGTGGAATTAGGCAAGCGTCCCTGATGGAATTCCTTTTCCCTTGCTGCTTGTGATTTGTGTGGATACTCCCGGTCAGTCTCCCTGTCTGAGCACTATCTGACATATGTGAATACTGTGGATACCTCCGGTGTGACTCCCTGTCTGGAGTAATTATGGATATGTGGGATGACCCCCTATCCAGTGAATTCCTGCTTGGAGCACTTGCGGAACCTTGGGATGAATCCCAAACAGCCTCAGTAGCAGCTAGTGAGGGCCTGTTAGGCCTGGGAAACTATGATCCAGAATGCATATTATGGTCCTCCTCCCCCCCCCAGAGAAAAGCCAGGAGTGGAAGGGTGAGAGTCCAGTCTCCAACGCAGTTGGTCTATATGCCTGCAAAGAACGTGGCTGTCCCCCAAAGCAACTTCGTATGACAACGGCCCAGAGAACTTGCAGACCATAGCTGTGACCCAGAGATGTCCAGGCCCATAGTTTCTTGTCCAAACCGGATCGCCCACCTGGAGTTGTGACACCTGTGAAGCCACCCGGTCTGGGTGCAACCTGTCCAATTTAGTAATGAGTCTGCGACCCCAGTAGAGTTCAGCAGGGCTCTTCCCTGTGGCTGTGCATGGTGTGGTGCGGTGTGCAAGAAGGAAATCAGCTAACCTGTGATGCCAGTTACCGTAAGTCAGTTTCTTGAGAGCGTCTTTGGTGGTGCGCACCATTCTCTCTGCCAGTCCGTTGGAGGAGGGATGGAAGGGAGCCGATGTTGCATGCTGGATCAGGCTGGCCTGAAGAAAAGCCTGGAACTCAGAAGAGGTAAATTGAGGGCCATTATCTGAAACCAGAATATCTGGAAGACCATGTGATGCAAAAATTCCTCTCAACATCTGGATGGTCCTGGCAGTAGTAGTGGAGGAAACAGGAACAACCTCTAGCCACTTGGAATGGCTATCAACAACAACTAGGAAGAATTGCCCCTGAAAGGACCCAGCATAATCTATATGCGCCCTAGACCATGGGGTTTGAGTTTCCTCCCACCTATGTACTGGGGCCTGAGGCATTTCAGGCCGAGACTGTTGGCACACTTGGCACCCATGCACCTGGGCCTCAATTGAGCTCAGGCCACTAAAGATGGCTGCACGTAAGCACTTTCATCCTGACTATACCAGGATGTCCCTCATGCAGAGAGATCAAGATTCTAGACCTCAATGAGGCTGGGATCACTACCCTGCTACCCCATAACAGGCAACCCTTGAAAGTGGAAAACTCATGCTTCTTGTGCCAGAAGCTTTGGAACTCAGTATCTGGGCATTTGTCAGGCCATCCTGACAACACCCATGTCAGCACGCATGTAAGTGTGTGATCAGTGGCAGTTTCTGCAGCCATGTCCCTAACATTGAGGGGAGACTCAGGCAATTCCTGAATGGAAAGAATATTAATGGCTGGATCTGGTTCTAATTGGTTCAGGGGTATTCTGCTCAGGCCATCTGCACGACCCATTTCTTTTCCTGGTTTGTGAACTAATGCATAGTGATATGCTGACAGGAAAATGGACCATCTCAGCATACGAGGAGAAATGATATGTGGGGTCTGTTTGTTAGTGGTAAACAAACCCAGCAGAGGCTTATGGTCAGTATAGACCGTGAAATGGCAGCCATATAAGAAATCATGAAATTTCTTAATGCCAGCCACTATGGCCAAAGCTTCTCTGTCAATCTGAGCATAATTTTGCTCTGCAGAAGACAGAGTCCTTGAGTAATAGGCCACAGGGACCTGTGTCCCATCAGCCTTCAAATGGCTAAGTACAGCTCCCACCCCATGAGGAGATGCATCGCATGCGATGCAAACAGGCAGTTGCTCATTGAAATGCGCTAAAACAGCATTAGAAGTGAGCAAGGCCTTAACCTCATGGAAGCTCTTGTTATGGACTTTAGTCCACTGCCAAGGAGACTGCTTGTCTAAGAGCCTGTGTAATGGCTCTGCCACTGTAGCTTTATGTGGGAGAAATGCATGGTAAAAATTTAATAGCCCCAAGAAGGCTTGCAGCTCACTCTTAGACTTAGGGCTTGGGGCCTGCTGGATAGCTTGCAATTTAGTTTCAGCAGGATGAATGCCTTGAGCATCAATCCTGAATCCTAAAAAGTCAGTAGAAGTGACTCCTATCTTACATTTATCCTTCTTTAGTTTAAGGCCTGCTTTTCGAAAACGAAACAAGACAGCCCGTAATCTTTCTGCTAAATTTTGAGATGACTCCCCAGCAATGAGGATGTCATCGAAGTAGGGACAGATCCCAGGAATACCTCGAAGTGTGCTCTCCATGACACTTTGTAATATGCCAGGGGCTACATTTACCCCAAATTGCAGTCTTTTGACCTTGAAGGCCCCCCTGTGAGTTGCAATAGTCTGGGCCTCTGCAGCTGCCTCATCAACAGGTAGCTATTGATAGGCCTGTGCCAGGTCAAGCTTTGCAAAAATGTGCCGCCCCCCTTGAAGGAGGCCAGAATGTGACTTACCACAGGCACTGGATAAGCGTGCTGATGCAGCGCCTTATTCAGTGTGCATTTATAGTCTGCACATATACATATGTCCCCATTAGCTTTTAGAGGCGATACTATGGGGGTTTCCCATGGACTAGAATTCACAGGTTCTAGAATGCCCTGCTGGAGCAATTTGTCCAGCTCAGCATCAATCTTACCTTTGAGGGAAAAAGGTACCCTCCTAGGCTTAACCCTGATGGGCATGATGGTTGGGTCTAACCGTAGCAAAATGGGAGGCCCCTTGTAGGATCCTAGCTCTGAACTAAACACATCTGCAAACTCCTTGTGAACCTCTGCAAGGCCCAGCCTTCGCAAGCTGTGCAGCCCAGTTACCTGGATTCCCAGAGCCTCGAACCAATCGAGTCCAATAAGACTTGTACATTCACCCCCAACCACCATCACTAGGGAACCTTCAAAATTCTTATACTGTACCCTAAAAGTGGCCTCCCCCTTAACACACACCATAGAATTTTGAAAATCAGTGAGTATTAGAGTTGATGGCCTGAATTTAACTCGAAGGTCACTACTGCTGCAAATCCTTTTAAAGATATTAATTGAAATAATGGAAAGAGTGGACCCTGTGTCCAACTCCATCAGTAAGGGAACCCCTTGCAACCTTACGTTAATGGAAAGTTTCTTCTTAAGGGGCTTGTATGTCCCTTTTTTTAGAATGCTCCTGCGTAATGCGCAGAAACCCACGCTGTTTTGGCTGGGGACCCTGGTACCTTTCTGAAGCAATTCTTCCTGAGGTTGAACCTTCTGGTGACCCAAAGAGACGGATGCAATGTGGCCGTGCCTGCCACATGCCCTGCAAATGGCAGAGCAAAACCTGCAGTCAGCTCGCTTGTAGTGTCCTCTGCACCCGAAGCATTGAAGAGATGCTGGGGCCTTGACCGGACGTCCCTTCTGCCTCCTCTCAGCTGGCTGGTGAAGTCTGTCGATCTCCTCTTCAGGATCCACTTCTGATCCTTCTCGAGCGACCTCTTGATGGACGGTAGCTGTGTCTGGAGGATTCCTGGCAAGGGGCAAGGCCTTCACAGCCCCACTTGCTGCTTCCTCAGCTGCCACCTCTCGCAACACATCTTGGAAGGAGAAATCTTCTTTTGCAAAAATCTTTTGTTGTAAGTCTCTGCTCCTTAAGCCACAGACAAAACGATCTTGCAACCTCTCTTCCAGATCCTTGAACTCACAAGGTCTGGCTGCTTGCCTTAAGGCCGGAATAAAGTCTGCAGCAGATTCACCCGGCCTCTGGTCTCTCTGCTCGAACGCGTGCCTCCAAGCAATGATGGATAACTGGCTGGAAATGTTCCTTCAACATTTTCTTCAAGTCAGCATATGTTACTGACTCCAGAGGTGCAGGGGTCACCAGATTTTCTGCGATGTCAAAAGCTATGTAGGAATTCCATCTCTCTGTGTGGGAGACATCAAAATCAGTCAGACCTTCACCACTCACTTCCTCTGCAAGCTGCTGTTTGGGGAAAGGGTCCTTTAGCCGAGCTCACCCTCCAGCGACGCTGTACTGGCAGGCTGGGACACTGATTCAGACGCCGTCTTCCCCTCTTCAGGACTTCCTGAGTAAATCCTTAAATCTTTTGTTTCAGCTTGCAAAGGATCCCACCTTCGTCGCCAATGTTATATACTTCGTTCGCGTGTGAATGATGAAGACACATGGCAATGCTGAACAAACACTTTATTCTCCTTCTACAACAACCAAGCAAAAGCAAATGGCACGCAGGCCTTTTTATATGGCCAGAAGCCCAGACAGTGTCAACCCATAGGAACAGAGCGTTTTTGTGCCTTGCGCATGCGCAGAAGGCCGGCGCTGCTCTGTCTGGTCCTGGGCAGCTTTTGGAATGCCCGGGACCAATGCAATGTCCCGAGCCTGCTTTTGCAGGCTCAGGACACAACAACACCTATGTTACAAAAATCTCGTCTAACTGTCTGCGTTCTCTTAGGAACAGTCAGATAGGGTTTCTGGGATTCTGTGGAAGGTCAGGCTTCCCGCTTTCTGCAATGCAAGGACTCTAAACTCGACCCTTCTTGACAATTCCTATTCCTTGAATTTCTGGGTTCAGATAATGATTGCTTATTTCTCAACAATAGATTATTTACTGGTCTAAGTGACTTCTGGCATTCATTTAGAAGATAAGATTAAATGAGGTTGAAATCATCAAATTTTGAAGGCTGCACTGTAGAAGATACTGTATAACGTTTCTACTTTTGCATCCAAAGTACTGAGGGGTACAATTTGTAATATTGAACTGTAATACTGATTTCAGTTCAGATTTTGGTTTATAAGAACAATGTCCAAGTTAAACAATCTTTCATCAATAAGGAGAGAAAGGAAAGGTGTTTTTTTTCTTTCAGTCCCGGGCATGTTTTTTTTCGCTTTCCCCCCAATATTCCAATTCTCATTTCAAGTTTCTTTTAAGAGAAATCGAATAGTTTCCTGCTCTTAGCCCTCTATACTTCCATTTGATAAAGATAGCAACAGAAAGTATGGCACATTTACCCTACTGCTCCACTACTTGACTTTCATTAGTTGTAAGAAATGGACTCCCTAGTCTTTTAAAACTATCTTTCAGATAGAAGAGAAAGAATTGGACCCATGTTCTTTCCTTTCTTGCTTAATATTAAGAAAATTACACATAATCTCCAGAGTAAGGTTCTAGTTAGCTTTGCTCTTTTATATTGTTTATGTTTTACATTTTCATAACAAAATCAGAATTGATTCCTTGCCATTTCAGTATGAACCCTGGCATAAATTAAAGCCTGGTTCCTTGCTTCTCTCAAAGTGGGAGGTCTTATCTTCTATAACCTCCAAAACAAAGTTAACTGTCCATCTTGGCAGTGCTTTTGTTGACATTAGGTTGCAACTGAGACCTTTGGCAGGGGTCTAGCCACGTTTGCACAAAATGGTAAGACAAATTGTTATGGGCCATGGTGACTGAGAATAAATGAGTTATCTACACTGCATGCAGCTTGTTCATTCTATAAGTGATAGCATCATATTTCATCTGAACTGTAGAACCTGACTGCAAACTCTTTTTATATGCCAAAACCACAATTGATTATTTGTACTTTATTAATCATAGCTTCATGACCCATAAAATAATGATTATTTGGGAACTTTATAACGTTGTTTATAAATCTTGCAGGAAATGAGAATGAACAGATTATGTTTTCTAACTTGGTCACACTAATCCAATAATCTCTCTGGATGAGGGACCTGATCTGGTGTGTGTAACTAAGATCTGGGTGGGCTTAGAGATAAAAGTGTTTCCCTCTTGGAAATAAGCCCACTTAGGTTTTGGGTTTTGCATCACCTGAAACAACATTGGAGGGAGTATAATTGGTACCTCCAAATAGCTCTTATAGAGGCTCTGATCAGCAGATGTAAGATTCTCTGGCTGAAGCTGGGCCTTTGAGAACTGTTAGGGTTGCTTCTGCCATACTGACTACTGTGCTGCACAGCATCATCCCTGCTTAAGGTGCTAGATTTGGTTGCTGGGCTGGTGGTGGAAACCATGAAGTTGATGACTCTTGGGGGGGCTGCTTTGTGGGGATGTTGAGTATGGAGTGGCTCAGGAATTCATGGCCTTCATGACAATCATAGACCTGTCTCGAATAATGAAGGACTCAGTGCACACTGGAGATTGCACATTTGATCTAGGTTTTCCTTGGGGTAATTGTAATGTGATCTGAATTTGGAGGATTACTGCTATCAGTCCGCTGTCACAGGAAAATCAGTCTTTGATCACCCTCTGGTCCAAAGGTGCACCTATCCCTGAAAAGAGATAAAGTCTGCTCAATTGGCCTGTCTCAAACAATGTTTCAGACTCTCATATTTCTAGACCAGTTGCAAGTTTTGAAGTGGGGGAGGGGCAATGTGTTTTGTCATCTTCCTCTCCAGTCAGTAGGGGGAGATTATACCCATGATCCTCATTTGTGGGGTGCCTCAAGGTTTACACTTTCTCCCTTCCTGTTTAATATCTACATGAAACTGCTGAGTAGGTCATCTATTAATTTAAAGTTTGGTATCATCAGTGTTTGGATAATACCCAACCATAAATCTCAACCCTGGGCTGTGTAGGCGAAGCTTCCAATGTTCTGGCTCAGTGTCTGGAGGAGGTTTGAGTCTGGAAGAGGAAAAACAGATTTTGGCTCAATAATCCTGTTGGAGACCCCCAGCTTTAGGATGTTTTCTCTATTGGTTTTGGATGGTGCAAGACCACTGCACGTCCCTGTTCAAGATTGGTGTACAACTTGGGGGTTTTCTTGGACTTGCAGCAACTGATCACAAAGCAGGTGGCAGTTGTGGCCAGAAGAGTCTTTGCATTGATTTGCCTTATGTACCAATTGTATCCTTTCCTCAACCTAGAGGCCATTCAGATGGTCATTCGTGATTTTGTCACCTCACAGTTTGGACTATTTCAATGAGCTCTAGATGGCTCCTTAAACACTATTAAGTGGAATGTTTATGTTGATCAACTGATGATTGCTTTTTAGTGTAGGATTCAAAGGAACATGTTCATGAAAGCATTACTTCCTTCTGCCATTTCTGTTATATTATTGCCAAACGTAGTGAAAACTAAGTAGATCACAAGCTTGTATATAAAACAATAGGAAAAATACAATTTAAAAAACCAGAGTTGCAATGACTATTCATTCTGTTATTAACTGTAATTGTATGAACTAGTTAAAATATTTTAGTCCAAGTATCAAATACTTAAATAAATTTGTCTTGAATAAATTAGTATGTTTGGCAGAAATAAATACTACATAACTTCAATTCCAACAAGAGCATGCTAGATTCTTGAAAATGGTTGTGTGGAGTCTGTCATCTACGACTGAAAGTGAAAGTGCAGGAAACTCCCAAGTGGCCACCTAAAGCACTGAAATATTGACAACCACTGTCTATGTTGCTTCCTGCATCTGTCTGGTTAGAACACACAAGATTCATGGGAACTGCTTTCCGGAAGATGGCTCCCTTGATATATTCTTTCTTTTCAAAAGTAGAAATGCCCCTAAATGTTTTTTTCTGCTTCTGTTTTCTCTGAAAACTCTGCATTCTCTGGGTATTCCAAAAGGTTATAATTTCTCTAGAACAGACATGTCAAACTCACAACATCACGTGACATTGCGCAATGTATTGGGATGGTTTTGCCATTGCCGGCAATGGGATAGGCATGGGTTCTGCATGATGCATCTGGCCCGTGGGCCGACAGTTTGACACCCCTGCTCTAGAATTTACCATTTGCTAATCATTTCCATAAAATATTTTCATTTTGCAAAATGATTGCAGTGCTTTTTTTTTTTAAGCATTAAGATTCCTGGGAAAGTAAGGAAGGGCATGCTCCAGAATCCAGCACTAAATTACTTTATAGCCCTGTTCCCATATAAGCTTAAGTGAGACAATGTGTTTTAAGTGTTGTGGAAACACCAAAAAGGGGATGTTTGACCTAGTAAATTAACCTCTACTGCACAGGTGTTAAACTCGCAGTGACGTGTCTGCGATGTATTGCGACTTTTTTTGCATTGCTGGAGCTGGGGTGGGCATGGCCTCCACATGATGCAACCGGACCATGGGCCAGCAGTTTGACCCAGACTTGCATAGAGTTAAAGTAACTCCACCAAGTCAAGCATATTATGGGAGCAACTAAAAACTAATTAATTAACCTGTCTTCTTGGTCTACCAAGAAAAAAGACTGCAGAGAAAAAAGACTGAAACAGACTCATTACAGAAATGATTGCAAAGTTTTGTCAGCACAATATAAATCTTCTAAACCAATGTTATTCAACCTTGGTAACTTTAAAATGCATCTACTTCAACTCCCAGAATTCCTCAGCTAGCCACAGCCAGTGGGCATGGACTAATTCTATCAATAAACCTTACAACACTTTGCTAGCACAAGGGTTCAAGTTAACTAAAAATAGAGAAAGAAGGTGGTGATGTATTCTCAAAATGGTGGGTTTTGACAATGTTAATCTGATTATAACCATTCAGTCATCTCACACAATTAGCTGAGCAACATATACATTTTCTGGATGAATAAATATATATATAATGTGCTGCCAGAATAAACAATGAAGAACTCATTTTGGAAGAACTGTCACGTGTCACTCTTGGTTTCAGTCCTGTCGTTTTGGATTATGAACTTGTATCTGAAATATACTCTTTTCCTCTCTGATTATTGAAAAGTACACAGCATACATGAGAGTTCAGTCTACATCTCAATCATTCAAGAAATAATTCAGAAATATTATCTTTTCTGAAACATTATTTTTACTGTCTTTGATTGTGCCACACATTTTTTTAAAAAAGAGAACTGACCATCTTCTTTTGTTGGTAGCAAGGAAAGGCCAGTGTCATACTTTCATTTTAGAAGGAACCTGAGTGTGAATAATTATGTTCTTTGAAAGATTAATTAATATGTTAAAAATAACTAAAAGACAACTTTATATACATTTATCCTTTTAATATAAAATCAAAGCATTTTATATTTTTTTCCCAGTCAAGCAACACAGTGAAGTTTTCAATGAGAAATAAATGAGTGATAAGATTTAAAAAGTACTTGAATGGTAGAACATTGTTTAATTAACTTTATGTAATTCCAGAAGCTGTAGTGTCAAGCATTGCTAAACTACCTGGACATTTCTGAAGTTAACATCAGCCTTTGAGGAAAAAAAAGCAGGCAAAGTATTCACATTTGAAGGGAAAGTATCTGCTTCTCCTTTCTGCAATGGCAACTGGACAATTTAATTTATAACTTACTACTTACTACCAAATATTAATTTCCTTATAATATTACATAAAGCAACCATTCTGTCTGGAGTCCCATAAGAAACTGCCTGAATAAGTGAAGACTCCCAGTTATGGTTCTCACAATCATTCTTAAATAGATACATTGGAGATACAATGTTTTATAAAAACTGGAACCAAAGTCCTGATGCACAGTATCTGCAAGTAGTTGAATCTTGGTGTAAGATCTTTCTTTTCTTTTCCTGATATAGATGATGGGAGCTGCCTATAAATGATGAGAGAATGGGACCCATCCTGATGGCTTTTAGGAGAACAGATAAGGCAGACTTATATAGTTCTAAAAATGTAGGTACCAAAGTGAAATGATAGTTGTATAGCACAATAGTTTTTATGCATTTGGATTTTTTTTAAAAAAAATCTTGATTTAATTGACTTCAATTGACTTAATTGATTTAATTGCCAAAAGTTTTAAAGTAGCAATACAAATATTGTCAATATAACTAAAAAACAAATCCTGCAAATACTGAGAGATATTCCCAGGGATACATATTTATTTATTTATTTTACTGTAAATAAGCACTGAAAGTGGACAATGACATCTCAGGAAGCTTGGCTGAGATTAAATCCTGCAGTTATTATCACAGAAAGGTAAAGCAGACAACTGATGTCAAGGAGACACTCTAGGTGTGATTTTCATAATCCAGAACCAATTACATTTAGAAAGCATTAAAAATTAGTTTCCATTTCTAATTATTATACTGCTTACCACTAGATTAGTTTCTTATTATATTACTAATTTGATTTGCATACCGGTGAAGTTTTGGTGAGTCTTCAGTGAAGTGTTCTGCAGATGACTTATCTGTTAGTTGCTTGTATGGTGAGCACTGTCTTTCTTGGAAGGACTCCTTGTTCTTGTAAGTTGAAGAGGGAATGATATAAGTCACCATACCACAACTTTTTATTGCAAAATTATTATTACATTACATTCTCTGACTCTGGAAGAAGGGATCCTACCCTGAAATTATTTTAAAAAGAGAGGGAAAGAAAGACGAAATAATTTCAACCTTCCTTATCTGGTGCCTCTCAGATGCATTAGATTTCAACTCTAATCATGACCATGCTGAATTAAGGATAATCAAAGAGCCCCCTCTTTGAGGGACATGGGGGGTTAGAAATACAACACATAAACAAACAAATAAATAAAAGAATGGGTAATTAATCACAGAACATATAAACAATGGGGATAACACATAACATGATAACACATTATGAAAAAGTAGCAAAACCAGTATAACTTCTGCCTCATTGTTCTGTATTCACAACTGGGAAAAGGAGACGAGCACATGGGTTACCTAGAGAGAGTTGATAGTAACTCTTAAAGTTGTTAGAACAATGATTTGAAGTGTGATTCACCAAAAGATAGAAAATAAAAAAAGAATTTGCCTTTTTTATTTATTTAGAACAGAGATCTTCATAGAAAGGGACATAATTTATTATCATATCACATTTCATAAATTCCATTAAAGTGATTTGATTTACTAGCATCATTTTAATGTATTAAACACAGATGTTACTTGAATTGACAAGATTACACAACTCCAGATTCCCTGCATTTTCATTTCCATTTCTTTTCAAACTAACATCTAAAATGCAGCTTTTCTCCATGTTTCAGGGCTTGAGTCAAAACTATAGCCCAATTTTTATATAACAGTGATACTAGAGCAAAGCAGTCTTTTTATTTTTTATATTGGAGATGAAAATAATTATGCTACTGCTTATCATGAATAATATCTAAGAAGGCCATGCTAAACATTAAAAGTGTTGCTTTACAACAAGCATTCAACCATCACTTTTTTTCTGTTAAAACAGCCACATCCTTTGGAAAACTGAAAATATTCTCCAGTTGTCTATTCATTCGCATATGCAAAAAAACACTTCTGCTGGACCCATCAGTGAAGCACAAAACTATGCAAGGGCATGTATATGGAGACAATTTTTGAAACAGCCATGAAAGTTTTGTGAAAAAACTTTAACTCTACAGAATTCTGTTATTCTAACATGCTTTATGAATCATCATTGTTCTTACTAACATTAATCACCTTCAGTTATTAAATGCAACGTCAAGTGATTGCAACTTTCAACTTACTGCCGGCTTCCCCATTGACTTTGCTTCTTGGAAATGGACAGTGAAGGTTGTAAATGATTCACATGACCATGAGACACTGCAACTTTCATAATTGTGCACTGATACCAAATGCCCAACTTGTGATTACAGGACTACTGGCATACTATGATGGGCACAACTTCAAGGACTGGCTATAAATCACTCTTTTCAGCATTGTCATGATTCCTAATGGTAACTGAAAAATGGTCAATAAGTGAGGACTATCTATATATGATGCTGTTGGGGGCCTTTTTATTGAACAATAAATATAAGTAAATATATTCTGGGAAAAAGGAGGAGGAAATATGCTAATAAAAACAACAGGAACTCAAACAAGAACTTTGTATGAGGTCAGGACAAATGCTTCCCTTGGTTCCTTTGTAATAGAAGCAGGAACAGCCATGCTGATAGTTAACCTCTTATGAGGTGAACTGGACAGGTGGAGACTATGAAAATGGTTGTACTAGTCTTGAAAGCCCAGGTTATGCATCCTGTCATATTATCATAACACAGCTTATGGTTTTGCACCATATCAGCTTAAATACTGCAAAATTACTTCCACTCATTATAGAGACATCAGCAAGTGGCATCACCTGGTAAAGAACTCAGTATTGTTTGCCATAATGTAGGGAAGATAAAAAAAAATGCTGTCATTTACTGGTATTATTTAACATAAGCTTTAGACAATGCTCTGCTTTTACCTCAGCACACACTGTGTGGAGTTAAAGTAGCTGGAACTATATGAGTTTATTTTTATCAGCCTTTTAATATAAGGATGAATGACCAATTCAAAGTAATTAGAGATCAAAAACTGCAATAACAAGAGGAAGAAACAAAATTAATAAAAATAGAAGCAACTGGCAGAAGCAATTAAGACTGCGTAAAGTTTTGATCTAAGTGGCTTTCAATATCATTGACCATCCATTATATCCCTCTGGCCCAAATATTGTAATTAGAAATGGGAGGCATGGTGCTGAGGTGATTCTCCTCCTTCCTCCGTGATCAGAAGCAGAGTGATTGAGCCCGAAGCCCCTGTTTGCGGGCTAAGGAAGATGATCTTGACAGAAATAGGCCACATCAGTTCCCAAAGTGACAAGAGGGAAAAGATGAATCAAGTCCAAAACAAAAAGAAGGTATAACAAGTGACTCAAGCAGACACGTGTCATGGCAGGTGGAAAAGCCACAACCTAGACAATGGATCAGTCAAGCAGCAACTGAATCTGCCTATGGAATGTGAACAGGGCAAATGACCCAGAGGGGACTTCCAGACTTGCAAGATTGATGTCAGAAGAAGCACAGCCAGAAATATTACTTTAACTTTATTGTAAGGTTACATTAACAGAATGTTGAAAGTCTGAAAATACATTTCCTTGCCTTTCACTTTTATGTCTGAGAAACTAGGGAGGGTCTTTTCTGAGATGTTTGGCATGTCAAAATTTCTTCTGCAGACTCAACTGCTGCTTGTCTAACAGTTGTATAGTCTACAGCTTTCAACTTGTCTCCCAAGTTCATTCCCACATACCATTACAGTACATTACCTCCCTAATACAAATCACTATGTGAACTTTATTAATTTAAATTAATTAATTACAACATTAAGTTTTATTCCAAGATTCTTCTATTCTATTTTAACTCACTGGAAAGCTAGGAACCTGGAGACTTGGAAAAACAGGTTTCCAAGCAGGTTATCTATTTCTGGAAGCTACTTTGGACTCCCTGTTCACGTTCTCAAAAACTGCATTCCTCCTCTGTAGTTATTGGTTACTTTAGCTTACTAGAACTGTTTCATAAATTCATAAATTGTTTGATCAATGAAATAATGTTCTGTATTGACTGCTACATTGTAACTGCTTTGTAGGTTTGTGTAGGCACATAACATGAAAAAATAGAAAATGGCTGAAAACCTGACACATGTTTCGGTTTACTAGTACGGTACTACAGTTTACTAATATTATTATTGTTATTACTGAGTAACTTCAAGAACTCTGTTTTGGGCTTCAGAGACTTGCAAATTTGCTACAGGAGAGACCAACATTGTTTCTCATAGGATTTTTATTGTCCAATTTTCCTGTTTTACACAAAGAATTCTAATGTAGCTAGGGAGCACAAATCTTCCTCATTAGTTTGCTCATATTTTCAATACATTATTGTATTTTAATAGAAATAACATTACAAACACAATGAAAAACTGTTAAGAGAGATTGAATAGTTACAAATTATCTGTTACGAATTATCTGCCTAGAAGCATATAAAAGACATGTTCGTGTCATCACACGTTTCACTATAAGATACAAGCTGTCTACGCATGGCAGGGTTTTTGTGCCAAAGTTTTCCATGAACCAGTAAGTTTTGGGAAGGTCTTTCAAGGGAAAGATGTAGGAGAAAAGTAGAGATTTAAAAAGTTAGATCTTTGTGTTTGTGTGTGTGTGTGTGTGTGTATGTGTGCGCGCACACACACATGTGTGCCTTAGCATGTGGTGGCAAGAACTCAGCATTATAGGATGAGATTCAGTACCTGCTCAGTAGGTTACAGCATGTGAACTCAGAAAACAGGGTTGTGTTTAGCAATGGCAATGCTAATTGTGTGTTGAGCAAACCAGAACCAAAATGAGGCCATGTTTTTGCCCCCACCCCCATAACTTACATACCCCATGAAAGCTGGGTGTGTTGGATGAGAAGGACTATTCCAAACAGCAGCAGCACAAAGGAAAAAAATAATTAAAAGTGTGAAGGCTGTAAGATTGGGGTGATACAGTAATGCTGACTTGTTTATTGAACTGACCCATTTTCTGAATTCAATCGAAGCAAACAGGCTGAACTCCTGCAACAATCTAACCAGAAACAAAACGAACAAAACAACTTAAAAGTATTCAAGGATTCGAATGCAGCATCCAGCCCTTCAAAAAATCCACCGGGCTAGGCTAAGCGTACCGTACTACTACTATTCTGAAGACCAAAGAATTTGTGACAGAATCGCGGGCTGTAGTCAAAGACTCCCGAGGCTGAAAGAAAGTACATTCATTGGGTTGGAGGTGGGGCCCTTTCTGCTACAAAAGTGAATGTGAGAGTGTACGGTTCCGGACGGGGAAGTGCGTGTGTGCGCGGTCGATTCACTGTTTGTGGGCCGAAGGTATAGTGTGCGAGTTGGGTTGGCGCGCTTTGGAGAGGGGCTAATGGGGAAGTTGTGCCTCTCGTCCGGGGTAAGGTTGGCACACGCGGCGCTCCTAAAGAAGGGAAAGGGGGTGGCGGGCGGTTGCTCGCAGCCTGCTAGAGGCTCCCACCACTTCTCTATCTCTACAAACCACAGCACAGGCTGTGACTAGGGGAGCTTCGGCTAGTCACACCGGCCCCCACTTTCGGGCGGCAACGGAGGCGGGTCTGGTCGTGGGAGAGAGAAGGAGGGAGGCGGGTCACAAAGGCAGGAAGGGCTGTGGCTGGAACCAAGGCTGTGACGGGGGCAGGGCTGTGGGACCGAGCGAGGCCCGGAAAGAAAGGAGGATCCTGACTGCGGAACCGGGCTGGGCCGTGCCGGCCCAGGTAAGAGACCGGAGTTGTGGGTGCAGGAAGTGAAAAGGGCGACGAAAAACATACCCGCGCCGCGGCCGGGACACCATGCCGCTTCCATATAGTGGAAATCAAATATCCTGCGAAGGAGACGGGTGTATATTTCCTTTTCCCCCACTCAATAAATTAAAAGATGTGCATGCCCCTTTATGAGCCGAACCCGAAAAGGCCGTTTAGCCCAATAGTAATATTTTAGTTCAGGCACGTGCAAAACGCTTTATGTTTACCTGGGAACAGTTAACCCGCGCGCGCGCGCGGCGAACCCGTGTTTCCTTGTATGTGTGTGTCATTTAGATACGTATGGCTGTAATCTTAACGTGATTGGCTCCCTGTGTGTATACGCAAATGGTGGTAAATACTTGCCACTGAGTGACACGTGCAGGGGTTGAATGTTATGTGTGTTATGAACGAGATAAGGGTTGCTCTGTTTTCTTGTGAAAGTTATTTGAGACGGCAGAATTAACGGGGTGCAGTTTTCACAAAGCAGTTGTATATCTCCGACTCTACACGTAAAGGTCTAACACACCATCAATGCGACAGGAAAAATGTTGTTTATCAAATCGACGAATCACTTTCTAAAGAACTGATGGTAGCCTAGGGCGATTTAAGGGAAGGTGCTTTCAGGGTTCCATTTACAAACACGCGCTCGGCGCCCTCTTTGCAAAGAGAGAAGGAAAAAGCTATTCAGCCCCCAACAGGAAGCAGAGACAGATTTCCATGGCGTTTTAAAATATAACATGGGCATAATGCTGGATTTGGTGGCACAAATTGGCTGGACTGTTGTCTATCTTCTAGCCCGTCCGTAGAGACAACCCCATCTATAAGAGCTAAATTGCATAAGCTCAAAACTATTATTTTGTTTTTGCATTGAAAATAGGTTGATATGTAACCTTTGGTTCAAGATAAATTCTTGGGCTTATCAACTTTTTAAATCTTAGGTTGGATGAAGATTACAACTTTTGTTAATTAGTTTAGTTTACTTTTTGTTGTTGTTGTCTGTTTTTCCTGTTGAGCTGTAAACAGAATATGTAGGCTAGAGAAAGGGAATGTTTACCTTTTAGTTCCAGAAGCAATAAATCTGCATGCAGACTCCCTTCTCTCCCTCTTCCCCAAGTTGTTATGGTCAGTTTCAATTTCAAAGCAGTGTCATTTGGGCAAGCGTTAAGGAATGGGCCTTTTTTCTTGCCTGCCTAAGGATTTGGTGTCTGCCTTTTGCTGTGGCTTTTGGTAGTTAAGGTGCTAGCTAATTCAAGAAGCAAGAATTATTTCTCAAATTCTTAAATTCAGCCACTGAAATTTTTTGCTGCTTGTTGTTAAAATAGTTGCACTTAGGTGTTGACATCACTATATTTCTTTTCACTGTGACTATGATGTGGCCTCTACTGAACAGCATACAACTTTCTTAATTATTTTTTATTTATTTATCAAATTTATATGTCGCCTATCTCACAGTGTGAGGTAACACTAAGCATATTATACATTTCTTTTCTTTTTTTAAAAAAGTCTGCTTTTAAAACCTGAACTGAAACAATAATGAAATAAATAATAACTTTCCCAGTATTCTTACAAGATTTATTTTCACAGGACCAAATGTGAGCATGATTTAATTTGCAGTGTTTGTCTATTTTTTTCTCATATACTTTATTTAAATGTATACACTGCTTTCCAAACAGTATTTACAGATAGTTTATGCTGGTCCATCCTTAGAGGCAAAGTTATCAGTAAAAGTAATAGTTAGATAATTAACTATTTTGAAAGCCTAAACAAATAAAATGCATTGTCTGATTCAAAAAAGTCCACGTGACAGAAGTTCACTTTCATAAATAGTGCTACATTCATCTGACCTGTCAAGAAGTTCTTTTGCATGGAAGAGAGTGCTTAGATATGATCCATGGATTTGGCAATATGGAGGAATCCCAATTCTTTGGGTATGTAGGTCTAAGAACATGTAAGGGCTTATGGGAAGTCCTTACATTTTGAACAAAAGGGAAGGATAACCTCATAATCTGTTTTATACAATTTTGCTAATATAAGCTTTAGATAAAATTTATTGTTGCTGTGTTTCTTTTATTTTGTATTATTATTTTCATACGGTAAGGTCTATGTGTATTTTAATTTCTGTAATTTCATATGGTTACTTTAGTTTGGTTTTTATCTCACTTAGGAAATTTTTAACAATGATAAGTAGCATTTTTGTACAAAAAAAATCACTCCCATTTAGTAAATTTGTTGCTATATCCTAAATCTATGTCTACATCTATATCTATATCCATTTCTATATCTATATAGATATGGAGTATTCATTTTCAAAGGCCACTAAAATACTGTGGGAAGTCATCCAGTTCTAATTTCCTTGACTAATTCAGGTCTTATTTATTATTTATTTTTAGCAAGTTTTCATATTATTTTGCAATGCCCTGAGTTAGGTGAGGAAAAGTTATTTGGGCAGTCTCTGGCAGGGAAATGCAAACTTTGGGGTCTGGGACATATATGCAATTATAACTGGTTGTATTATATAAAATGGCCACAATGGAATACTTGCTTATTAACAAAATGGAGTCTGAACATAGTCAGTCACAAATGCCAATTTACTGGAAGTCCAACTATCCCTCTAGGATAATTTCTATCATCCCATTGGCACCTTTGTGAAGTACCAAATACTTTGTGGCAAATAAATAAAATGCTAGAGGCTGATGATTTCCTTTGTAGTATGCCAGTTTCCTGTTTATGTTTTTTAAATTATTTTTAATGCAATTGGACATTCTGAAATAAATAAAAATGGGCAACCTTCTAATTCTCTACAACTCTTTGTGAGACCAATTATAAGGAAAAAAGAAAATTTAAAAAATTATACCAAAAGTTCAGGTTATGAAGTATGAAATTTAAAGTCATTCCCAACATAAAGACTATGGACTGAATATAGGTATAGATTTAGTATTAAATTATACTCAGCATCAGGCTAAAAAAAATGGATATACCTATCTACACTGAAAATAAATACTTTCATACCCAGTCCATCACCTGAAATAGCTGATGTACACAAACATCTGCCTCACGTTCCAGATACTGGAACATCTAAAATAATATGGTTAATATGTTTCTTCCTTCCCTTCTTCTGCCTATCACAATAGTGGGCATTTTGGTATTATATCAGTGCGTTATGGCTGAAGATTCTGTATGCAAGTATTGAATGAAAAATAGTTTTTCTGTTCCCTTATACTGGCAATTCTTGAGGAACATTTCAATCTACAGCATACTTTCAGCAGCTGTTCTTAGATAAAACAGATATTTCCATTAGTTGGTAAGTTGATTCCTCCTGCTATTAAGTGAATAATTTACAAATACTGTTTCCTTATATAAATGTGTGCACATTTTCTTTCTTGTTTCTTTTGCGAAGTGTCCTTTAGATTTCTAACTGCATTATTTTTATAAGCACAGGTAATACACTTTTAGCTACATAAGTAATTCAATGTCAGTCAGTGCAGCATATGTCATTGAGGTATCCTTATACTGTATCATCCTGTAATCATTGTAAATTCCTTTTTAAAAAGCAGGAAAGTAGAACCATAAAATTATTTTTTTTAATATAGGATATTTTGTGTTGAAGGGTTATATTGTTTTCCCCCTAGAGAATAAATCAAAGAGTATTAGAAAAATAATCAAGTTTATCCTATGTTTGATTATAGGGCAGTTTCATGTCAGTTACCATGTCTTATGTCAAGTAAAAGTACTTTTTATTACTTTTATAATTAGACTTATTTCTAGGAAGAGGGAAATAATTCAGCCTTGAGGAAGAGTTCATCAGTGTTGCCTTGTCTTGCCCCAAGTGTAAAGAGAGGGACTTTAACTCATAGTAGGACACCTTTGTTCATATTTGGGCACATGTGAAGACCTAACGTTCTTGAGAACTCTATAATATTGGGAAATACAGTAAAAAGATTATCTGCAGCAAGTGGGTAGACTCAAATACAGTAGCAATAGATGCATTGTTGGGACCAAGTTGGGGACTGGAGAAAATTTGTATGACTAAGAATTGACACTGACTTGATAGTACGTAATTAATCAATCAGTCAAGACAATTTCAGAAGGCCAGATCTCATTGTAGGAGGTCTAGGGAAAAAAACCCATTCTGCAGTGGAAAAATGAAATCAGAGAACTTCCTTTTTCCATTCTGTCCTCCAGGCTCTACATATTCAGTTCCTCCAATCTCTCCTAATATATTTTGTCTCGTATCTTGCAGCATTTTTGTTGCCCATAACTCCCTCAATCTTATCAATATCTTTTTTTAAGTGAGGTCTCCAGAACAGGACACAGGATTCAAATGGGGTCTATAAAAACCCTGTATAGCAGGATTAGGACCTCTTTTTTTTTTTTCCTGCTGATGATCCCTCTAGGGCAGTAGTTCTCAACCTGTGGGTCGGGACCCCATTTGGGGTCGAACGACCATTTCACGGGGGTCGCCAAATAACGCAGTCCGCCATTTTTTCCCCTTTTCCTTAGCTGTGCTACTCCCTTTTATTCTATTGGCTTTTGAAAGCCAATAGAATAGACTCTCTTGAATAGAGTCTAATTCTATTGGCTTTCAAAAGCCAATAGGAATTTTCCAGGCTGTCTCTGCCCTGCTGAGCCTGCCAAAAGTCCCATTCTGCAAATGGTGCTGCACCAGTTGAGTAGTCCTCGACTTATGACTGGTTGAGTAGTCCTCAACTTACGACCGGTTGGGGGTCGCGGCATTAAAAAGGTTGAGAACCACTGCTCTAGGGATCTATCCCATAGTTTTGTTTGCCTTCACAGATGCTTGGCCATCTTTTTTTGCTTTTTTTGCAGCCATCTGCCATGAACACACCTAAATCTTTTTCTTCTGCTGTTCTGTCTGACACTATACCCCAATACTGTGCTCAGCCAGAGGATTCTTTTTCCCAAAATTACACTTAGAAACATTGAACTGCAGTTTCCACACTTGACCAATTTCCCAGAAATGCCATGAAATGAATACCTCCAGGAACATCATACATACCTTTATTATTACACACCTTTGTGTCATCAGCAAAAACCTTACCTAGAAATCCTTCTGTTATATTACTTACAAATACATTAAACAGGACAGGGCCTAGGCCTGCACCTTGTAAGTACACCTCTTACAACTGGTTTCTGTTCAGACAGTGCCCCATTAACAATCAACTTCCTATCCACTGAACCACCCAATGGTTAAGCCCTAGCCTGTACAATGAACTCATCATGTGGAACTGTATCAAATGCTTTGCTAAAACCCAAATCTACAGCACCAATTTCATCCAAACATTGGTGACATAATTAAAAAAAATCAGATTGATGTGACATGATCTGCCCTCAGTAAGAGCAATCTGTTTTGTGTCTTTTGGGGGGGGGTTGTTGTGGAGGTTATGTGGCTTTTAGTCTTCTCCATCACTTATCCTTCAATACAGTTTCTAATTTTCAGCTATTCTGAAAAGTAATGTCCTTACCCTTTCGATTATCTGCTAGTTGAACTCTCTTTTCATATAACTTTCCAGCACTGTTTCCTTCACCCCAGATTTTTCTTTGAAGTTCCTGTAAGTAAGGATGTAGAGATCCGTATAAATATTGTTCTTCAAAGATTTTTAATGGATTGACAACTACCCCATGCAAACTGAGATTTTTTTTACAATACAGAATGTTTACAGTCTCCTTACATCGCAATACACATCTGAAAAAGCCTTTGCTTCATGCATATTTCTTTCTCTTTTTTTCTTATGTATATTTTCCAGTGCAGCTTTTTAAAGCATAAAATTAAATGTCCAACAGTTATACCACCTTTTGAGGATGCTCTCTGGTCATCTTCATCAACTTATGTCTCTCCTAAAGAGAAACACAGAATATGCAAAACATCAGTAAAGATAGTCCTCAATTTACCATCAGTTGCTTAATAACAATTCAAAGTTATCTCAGACTTTAAAAAGTTACCTCTGACCTGCTACTGAAATTACGACTCCCCTACCCTCCAGCTATGTGATTGCATTAAGAGTTCTTGGCAACCAATTCACATTTAAAATCAGTTGTAGTGTCCCGTATTTGTTCAATGAACATGTGATTCATGTAATGACCATGTGGTTCACTTCACTATACTGACTTGCTTTACAACCATTTTTACAACAATCATAAAATTAACTCTGCTTACATAGTGCTTTGGCATATGACTGCATTAACTTACAATGTATAATTCCAGGCTCCATTGTGGTCATAAGTCAAGAACTAACTATAATTACTACTTGAAGATACTCTCAGTCACCTTGCCCATAAAAATATAAATAAACTCCTTTTTTAAAAAAATAGCTAATCCATTTGGTGAGAACTTTAAAAAACATTGTTGTTGTTGTTGTTAATTGCGAAGTCGTGTCCGACCCATCGCAACCCCATGGACAATGTTCCTCCAGGTCTTCCTGTCCTCTACCATCTTCTGGTAGAGAACTTTAAAAAACATTGTTGTTGTTGTTGTTAATTGCGAAGTCGTGTCCAACCCATCGCAACCCCATGGACAATGTTCCTCCAGGTCTTCCTGTCCTCTACCATCTTCTGGAGTCCATTTAAGTTCACACCTACTGCTTCAGTGACTCCATCCAGCCATCTCATTCTCTGTCGTCCCCTTCTTCTATTGCCCTCAATCTTTCCCAGCATTATGCCCTTCTCCAGTGAGTCCTTCCTTCTCATTAGATGGCCAAAGTATTTGAGTTTCAACTTCAGGATCTGGCCTTCTAAAGAGCAGTCGGGTTGATCTCTTCTAGGACTGACCGGTTTGAACGCCTTGCAGTCCAAGGGACTCGCAGGAGTCTTCTCCAGCACCATAGTTCAAAGGCCTCAATTCTTTGGCGCTCAGCCTTTCTTATGGTCCAACTTTCACAGCCATACATTGCAATTGGGAAAACCATGGCCTGGACTATACGCACTTTTGTTGGCAGGGTGATGTCTCTGCTTTTTAGTATGCTGTCTAGATTTGCCATAGCTTTCCTCCCCAGGAGCAAGCGTCTTTTAATTTCTTGGCTGCAGTCCCCATCTGAGATGATCTTGGAGCCCAGAAAAATAAAATCTGTCACTACCTCCATTTCTTCCCCATCTATTTGCCAGGAATTGAGAGGGCCGGATGCCAAATGATTTTGGTTTTCTTAATGTTGAGTTTCAAGCCAACTTTTGCACTCTCCTTCTTCACCCGCATCAAGAGGCTCTTTAGTTCCTCTTCACTTTCTGCCATTAGCGTGGTATCATCTGCATATCTTAGGTTGTTGATAAAAAACATACATTGTTATTTTTTAAGCAGACTTTTGACAAGAGATATAAACGTGTTGGTGGATTGTTCTATGTTCCTGTTTTGCTCTGGAGAAGCTCATTTTAGTGTATGAGCAAATCCAATTGCATGAAAATTTGTGACAGATTTTCAGTTTTAGCCACATTTCTTGACCACACCTTCACACATTTGTTGATCCTGAGTTAATAGAATGGATGAATAGAGGAACTAATTTAGTGAGCGACAATTGGAGAAATCCAACAATATCAGTAAGAGTTGCTGTTTTTGCATTATTTTATTATTATTACTGCTGTGCCTCTAACTGTTTGTTGAGTAATACACATTGGAGTAAGTCATAATGTAGTTTATTTTGATTGAGCGTGATCTGTGAAACTAGCTGCAGATTAACTCTGTTATGATAGATAATTTTTTTAAAAAAACTTTTTTCTATGTCTTACTTTCTACTTTTGTTCTTGTTTGATATATTCATTACAATGATAATTTCTTTATCATTAAATTACTAGCGTGTAATATAAATGCCATATACATTTCATGAATATATATGACATTTATATTATATACTAATGTAATTCCTAAAACATACAAGTTGTGCTCTGGATTGTGTCAAGATGCCATTACAGCATCTGCCTGCAGCACCTTAAAGCAGCTGTGCCTTTTCTTGGAAACATCTGGCTGCTTCAAAAGGATTGCAGAAAGGTACCGTAGTAGTGGTCCTGCACAATCCAAAACATCTGTTTGAACCTGGACGCGAAACTGGGTGCAGCCCTGATAGCTAATGCTGTAGTTAATGAAGGCAAACATACGTTAGAGAATCAAATATGAAAAGTGGGGGTAGAAGAAGACAAAATGTAATGTAATATATGTAAATTATAAACATATAAGAATAGTTTTAGCAACTATTAGGCTGTTCAATCTGCACTTAGTGAAAATAAATTCCCCTTTTCCTATTCTGTCTAGTTTGTGTTAAATATATTCCCAATACATATTCCAATCATTAAGCAATAAATTGTACTTTTAGTTACATGTTTAAAAAGACATCTTAAGTATTAGGGAAATTATAACAATTTATTGTCACATGCAGTGGCAAATTACATACTTTTTCAGTCCTTTTCTTCATTATTGCAATCCTGGTAAAGTTTACATCCATGCACCCCAGAGAGAAACTAATGCCAATGCAATTATTTTTGTCAGAATAAGAGCATGGGATGAAAAAATAACCCACCTGATGTTGTTTCTAATTATAATCTCTGTATTCATGCCTGTTATTTACAGTTTAAAAACTGTACATAGTGTCATAGTATAAAGTTGACGGCAGGAAGAATTTGGTTCTTAAAATTAATTATAAAAATGAAAACAAATGGAAAAATGGAAAAAAAATCAAGAACGAAGCCTGTTCTTAAAAGATGACAACTCCTGTGATATTTCAAGATGTTCCCTATGTAAGAACCTTTCCTGTACAAGGCCCCTCTCCCTTCACACATTTTATACAGGGTCCAAATGATGCTGCTTCTACTGCTAAAATTAATATGTCCCTTTTCTTTTACAGAAAACAAAACAGACTGTTAAGGAGGAAAAGATAAATCAGACTAAATTGCACAATTATTGATCACAAATGGGTGACAAATTTGAGGAGACCTTATCATTTGATAATGTCTCAGCTTTTATGGCATGTTAGCATGCAGTATTGGGTAAGGTATCAGATTGCATTTCATTTATGCCAACAAATATGACAAATGGTTGTCTTTCTGTATTGGGTAAATATTTGTGACTATTACTTCATTATGCAATAACTCAAGACATTGTGTAATATGTGGGCTTGCAAGCTGGAAAATGTACATTTTATTTTTTCCTTTTTCTTTGAAGGAATGAAATATTAAACCAGCAGCCAAGCCAAACATGCACATTAAAAAAATAAGAAACCATAAAAATACATGCATAAGCATAATTGGAGATACAGGGTCCTCTTTTAAAAGGCATTCTAATTTGTTATTTTTCAGCAAGAAGTGCTCTGAAGAATTACTACTCTTGTGCAGTTTTTCTTTTTAAACAATTTCTGCCAATTATGAGATGAAGTTTTTATAAGCCAATGAATCTGT